ACAAGCCTGGAAGGATCCGAGGAGCTCATCCCTCCTTCCTGGGGAGGGCAGCAGCAGCATCTCCGCAGGCTCAGGGGTCTCCAAGGTTCGGGTTCCCCTCCCCAGGTGCTCCACACCATCTCTGAAGGGATCAGCTCTCCTCACCTTTAGGAGTTTTGCCTTAACACACACCTGGGGTTTTGTCTCCTCAGCCCCTGCTCTCTGCCTGCTGCTGCCTTTCACTGCTCAGAACTTTCCTGTGTCCCTCCTTCATCTTCCTCCAGCTCAAACCACTCTGCAGTGTTTCCTTGGCCCTGTCTCCAGGCAGCTCCACCTCACCTCATCCCTGCTGATGCCTTAGGATTTGGCTTCCAGCGTTCCCAGGTTGTGCCCTGCCCTGGTGTGTGACTCTGAACTCCACACAAAGTGACAGCAAGCTCTCCTCACAGCTCAGGCACACACAACAATCCTTTCCCAGCCCCACAGCCAAGGGCAGCGCTGCAGCTTTGGGCCCAAAAAGCACAAACAGCCCCCAGCTGAGGAGAGCAAGCTGGGAGGATGGGACTGCATCCCCTGCAGCTGGAATTGCACAATTCACCCCCAGCTGGGGATGGACCAAAGCGATCCAAGGGTGAAACTCCTGAGCCGTCCTGGCTGGAGCCAGGGCCGGGCTCTTGCAGTGCCCAAGGTGCATCCTTGGAAGGGCTTTTAATGGATCCCTGCTTTATTCCTTGAACCCTGCCCAGCCCCTGCCCCTGGAGCCTCTCAGGGCTCAGCAGTGCCCCAGCAGTGCCCTGCAGTCCCTGCTGTGGGCAGGGATCCCGCTCACTGCCACTGAGATTTTGGGAGGTTTTCTCCTAATTTGAACATAACTTGCAGGACAGCTTGTCCTTTGATGTGTTTCAGGTGGCAGTTTGCAGACCCAGAGCTCCTCATCCATCACCAGCTGAGCCCAGAGCCCTGCTGCCCTGGGAAGGGGCGCTGGGAGCCGGGGAGGATTCGGATCCCAGCAGATCCATCCCATCCCCTCCTGGGNCACATGCACTGTCAGGATAGCACAAGAATTTTACCTGGTTTGATTTTTGGTGGCTGCCTGTTAAACAGAAAACACTGTTTTCTCACTGGGAAATGTACTTTTTTATTTTTTCAGAAACCCATAGTGAGGAAATTAAGGAATTTAAACTTGATTTGCACAGCACTTCACCTAAGGTTGTGTCTTCAGATCACAAAGTTGTAGTTTCTATGGTTGAAAGAGCAAAGGAAGAATGGGTTATCCTCCTGTGTTTGGATAGTCTTTTCTGCAGTATTGGCTGTACTTTGAAAAACTGCTGCATTTCACAGAGCAAAGGAGAAAGAACAGGCTGAAACTGCAGGCAGCAGCACAGGTACAGATTCCTTGGGCAGAGGGATCAGCAAAGGAGAGTGCTCTAATCTTTTCAGTATTACTAATTTCTTTTATTTCTCTCCGTCAATTTCGTCAAGAAAAGTGTAAATTCTTCATATCTACAGGGGAAAAAAAAAAAAAGTAGAGATGCCAGTAATGAGAGCTGAGGCAGATATTTCTTAAGGGTGTACACTGAAAACTTACAGCATTTTCAAACCAGGATACACATAAAACAAGCTAAAAATTAACTGGCATAATTTACCAATTTCTTTTTCCACTCTGCTGGGTTCACCTGAATTCCCTGAACAGTGTGTGGATATAAAAAAAACTAAAAATACTTTCATTACCCTTGTTTACTGATAGACTTATTACACCCTTGTTTACTGATAGACTTATTACTGTAATATGACTGATATTTTCTCATTAGGAGCCAAATATGTTTCTATAATAATTTAGGGTGAATTAAAAATGTGGTATCAGCCATCAGCAGTAGGCTGGGCAGTAGGTGACTCCATGCCCTCTTGGAAGATTTGGCTTGGTAGGACTTCTGTATGCATTTTGGTGTTTCCCCCAGGCCTTTTTGCAGTTTAAGTGACTGTTTAAGTCTTTAATCTTTTAATTAAACCTTAGGCTGAAGGCAAACTGTAAGAGGCACTGCAGGGGAAAGATGAGCATGCAGGTCTTCAATTGCATTGCAGCAAATCTTATTAGTAAAATAATTCTGTAACTCATTCCTCGTGTTATCTGCTCCCTCTTGGTTTTGATGTTTATCTCAGGTGTGCATTGGTCCTGCAGGAGTGACAGGGTCACGAACCTGCAGAGCCTGTTGTCAGTTTTTGCTGGGGCAAAAGGATTTCAGACAAGGATTTCAGGTGTGAAGTGTCACATGTGAGATCAGTTTAAGTTGTTGTAGCTAAGGACTTCACAGAATTTGTTTGGGTTAGGAGGGACCTGAGAGCTCCCCCAGTGCCACCCCAGCCATGGCAGGGCCAGCTCCCAGTGTCCCAGGAGCTGCCAGCCCCAATGTCCAGCCTGGCCTTGGGCATTGCCAGGGATCCAGGGGCAGCCCCAGCTGCTCTGGGCACCCTGTGCCAGGGCCTGCCCACCCTGCCAGGGAACAATTCCTGCCCAAAATCCCATCTAAAGTGACCATTTTCTCTTGTTTTGTAATGGGAAATGGCTGCCCAGTTCCCACCCTGCATGAATTGCCTAATGGAGCACAGGTGAGTTCTGGCAGATTTGGGCTTTGATGAAGAGATTATTGCTGACTTGCTTTGTCAGGAGCATTAGAGAAGTGCTTGAGGCATGGCACATAGCTCCTGAGGCACCTAATCAAATATATTTCAAAGATTTATAGAGAATCAGTGTCCATCAGGAAAGAATTTTGTTTGGAAGAAAAGGATCTCGACAGTGCAGTACTTGTGGCGCGGGGACCATAAGTATGAGAAACAAGAAGAAGCATTTTATGTCTAGAGTTAGTGCACTAACCCAGCTTTTCGGGTTTTGAACCTTTAATATTTCCTTGTTGAGCTGTTAATCTGTGTGCATTTCTTTCTTTGTGTGGGCACACAACCTTTGAGGTTGTTTGTTTCCTGCTGCACCATTCTCTGTCGTCGGGAGCAGTGCAGACACCTCCCAGCTGGCCCTGAGGGGCACTGACCCTGCTCCACTCAGAGGAGAACGGGCTCCAAGCAAACAGAAAACTGTCCTGAGCATTGCCATGAGGGAGCAGGACTGAGCACACATGTCCTGCATCGACTTAATAGGTAGGTCACTGCCCAAGTTTGATTTAAAACATTAATTAGTGATGTGAAGAATGAAAATATGTCATTCCTATGAAGCAGCTGAGCTGCTCTTGCTGACCATTTCGAGGTCATGGAGAGAGAGAGAAAGGTCACAGGAGTGGAAAATGTAGGTGGCAACAAGCCTTTGCAAAATAATCCATGTGAGGAGGAGTATTTTGGTTGTGAAGGAGATGCTTGGAAGCCAACAGTACAGAGAATGCCGCAGCTGGAGCAGAGCAGGGAGTGAGCCATACCTGGGTGTCCCTGTTTTGTGCAGGCTTACAATTGCCCCTGTCTGCTCAGAGCACAGGATTGCTCTGGGTTATTTGCTCATCTCAGGCATTTTGCAGTGATTGGTTCAGCCAGGGATCACACCTTTGTGTAGGCTGAGGGTGTTCTTTACCAAAACAGCCACCAATCCCACCCCAGCCCCAGCGTGGATCAGATTTTTTGGAACCATGTTCCTTTAGTTTTGGGTATCTCTGGGTCTGTTCCAACTTCTAAGCACCCTTGCAGGGCAAAAGGAATTCCCAGTGTCCCATCCCGAGTCTGCTGCCTCCTGTCCTGTCACTCGGCACCCCCAAGGAGACTCTTGAGCCTGGTTTCCCCTGATGCAGACCGTGGTGGACATCATTAAGCTATCCTCTTAGCCTTCCTCTCCCAGGCCCTCCTGTGCTGAACCCCATGAGGTTTCCTGCAGCCCATTTCCACTGTGAAATGCTTTCTCAAGGGCAGCCCTGCTCTCCAGCTTTTATGTGGCCCCATCAGTGGGCTGGCTGGCTGGGTGATGCCCCTCAGGCTGTGGTTAAAGGCACTGGAGCAGAGCCATCAGCCCCACACCAGCCCCTAGGAACTCTGTTAGCAAGTGGCAGCCTGCTGGACAGTGTGCTGCTGCCCTTCAGCAGCAGAAAAGCAAATTACAGGCTAAAATCTCAGGGCCCACAGTTGGATTTTGCGTTGAGCTGAGAGTTTTGGAGAGCCGACAGTGAAGCCTTTCCAGTTTTGTTTCTATGTAAAATCAGCAAAAGTCTGTTTCCCTCCTCCAGAATTACTATTATTAACCATCATTTGGAAAGCCAGCAGCAAAATGCTAGGGAATGTGCCCAGCATAGATGAGGAAGTAACAGCAATCACATGGAAGCTCAGCCTGCCTTACACTCAGCAGCTTCCCTTCTGAGCCAGCACACCATGCTGCTGATTTTCAACAGCAGCTAATTCACCATCTAGCTCTCAATTAGCTTCCAATTGTGACTTTTAGAGACTGCAGCCAGCTATGGGCCAGCTATCCAGCCACAGCTCTGCAGATATGACTCACCCAGGGACCTTCCTGAGGAATGGTGTTCTGGCCCTGCTTCCATATGTGCAAAAAAGAAGCAATCAGTGTGACTTTGAGCACTTGCTGGGCTTTTTTCCTTTCCACTGTGCTGCTGAGCACATGGGACCATGGAGATGTGAGTGGCAGCCCATCCTCAGGCACTGTGGGGAGTGGCAGCTGAGCCAGACCCCGCTGTCTTTGAAGCTGAGAGGTGCAGGAGGGGGCTGGAGCAGGCTGTGCTGGTTTGGCTGGGATGCAGAACATCAGCAAACTGAGCTGCTTGCTGGTTTTTGGGCCAGTCTGCTGCAGCCCAAGGGCACAGGGCAGAAATGAGCAGGGTGCTTATAGGAGATGTTGTAAATATGTCCAGAAGTGCAAGTGCTGCACAGAATTAGAGATTTGTGCCTTTTGCACAGCTGAAGTGGCACTTTTCTTATCACCAACCAGGAAAGGGCAGCAGTGCCCCCAAAAAGAGCACACCCCAGTAAATCTGCACCCAGACCAGTCTGTGCCAGTGCAGCCAGGCATGGAGGAGACCTCAGGTGTCAGGTAGTGTTTTATTACACAATGTATTTATACAGAGATGTACAGGGGTGCCTTTCCATCAGAACGGCAGCCACGTTCCCCTCAGCTGCAGCCATCAGCAGCAGCTTCATCTCCTGCCAAACTGGGGCAGGGGGGGTGGCACCTTGATGTCTTGACCTTTTTCCAGTTTCTTCTCGCAGTCCACGAGGTAATTGACCCCGTCGATGACAATCTGGACTAGCTCCACCTACAACAACAAGAACAAAATTGTAGTAACAGAAGGTTTAGCACATCTGTTAATAGAAGAGTGGGAAGTTGAGCTGTCACAACAGCAGAGCTGCCAGTGAGGAGGGTCACAGACATCACACCTCCTCTGGCACAGGGAGCAGTGGCTGTGCAAAGCCACAGTAATTCCCTTCTGTTTGCCCCAAGTTTGGGCCACCAGCAGCAGAAACCTTCAGTTAAGTCCCTTAACTTCCACCAAACTGTGCTCCCACAGGAACAAACCAACCAGGCAAAAATCCTTATATAAAGTGTTGAGGAGGGAGCTGAGGGACCTGTTTCAAACATGACCCCTGAGAGCGTGCAGGTGCTCCACAGGTGTTGCTGGGCACAGCACACACAGCTCAGGACTCACACTGCTCTGCAGCACCCAGCACTCCTTTGCTCCCAGATTTTGAGTTGATGCCTCAGGATTTAGCTGTTAAATTTTTCAGATCCTAAACTCAGTAACCCTAAAACTCCACGCCCTGTCAGCTGCTGATCTCCCCTTTTATTCAGACACAACAAATCCCCTCTAGGCCTGAAACTCAAGGACACCTCACTGGCTCAGGCCCCGAGAGATGTAAACAACAGAGAATTGAAGGGGGGAAATTGGAGAAAATGACCTGAAGCTGTAACTGGAGAATTAACCCCGATATGCAAATGGAACAAACTTTTATCTGTATGAAAAGCTCGTGACCACTGTCCATTTTGGGTGTAGCCCCTCAAAGGTTTCTGACAGCCCAAGGAACATCTATTGAAGGTCTTTAATAAATATGCACTTTATTATCTTTAGCTTAGGCTCTGTTCCAGGCAGCCACTCCAAGGCATCAGTGACCAGGGTGGGATTCGCCCCAGGCCCAGAGCAACACCCAAATTCATAATTCTGTATAGCAGGGAGTGGTAATAACCTGCTTCACAATTGCTGGAGAACACAAGGGGCCCTGTCCCCAGCAGACAGGTGACATGTGAGGACCACAGACCCTGTGACACTGTGAGGCAGCAAGATGAAGCTGGTATTTCTTAATCTCCATGAAATGGTTCATTAGCAACCTTTAATTTAACCTGTTAACTGGCTTTTTAAAACCAAATGCAAAGACTAAATCCCATTGTCTCTTTATTGTGACCGTTGCTGTTTTTCAAGGGATTTGTTTTCACTACAAAGCATTTTGGTGGCTTAGTAGTTTGTTGTCTTTTTTCAGACTAGCTGTGTTGGGAATTCAGAGGTCTGAATTTGCAGCCTCCATAAGAAAACAAATTTCATATTAAGTTTGTATTGACCAGTAACTGAAACAGAGCAAAAATGCAAACAGTTTTATCTTGCACCTTTGGGAACATAATTCAGCTCTGCAAACATATTTACCATATAATGGAATTTATTTAATTATGTACTGGAAAAAATTTATCCTATAATAAAAGTTTTTTTATCCCCTTGACTATGTCTTGTGTTATTTAGATTCCAGAATCTCCAAGACAGGGCTTGTGTCTTATCTCTTGCCTTAATCCTTTGGATCCTTGCTGTAGGAGGCACCACTGACTTCAGTGTAACTCTTTGTATAAGCAAAAATTTGTAGGCTTAGGCTGTCTGTCAGCAGGACTCAATTTATCATGCTGTGTAATCCCTTTTTTATTATTAATGTTACTTCAATGTAAAACACACATGATGATGTCTGTTAATAGATGTCTTTGTCACAGGCTGTTTTGGCAAATAAGACTTGATATAGCTTGATAGTATTTCACTCTTATTTATTTTGTTCCCTGTTACTTATTTCATTCTAGATCCAAAGGAACACAGGTGCCTACATCCAGCTTCAATATTTACAGTTTCCAGACATCTGTCCATGGCTGTGGGGACATGGAAAGCACAGGTCACCCTGGCTGGGCTGTCCCCGTGGCAGGAGGGCACTGTGGGCTGGGTGAATGCTGTTGTCACCCAGGTGCATTATCCCAGGTTATATTTCTGTTATGAAAACTGACCTAGAATGAGTCTGGCCCCAGGTCTGGGGCTGCAACACCAGCACTGCATCCATATCCAACCTGCCACAGCCTTGGGGCTCGGCTGAGTCTGAGCTGTGGGAGGAGGCTGCAGCTCCTGGGCATGGCTGCTGCTCCCCATCCTCGCTAGCTCTGCTCTTAGAACTGCTCTGCCTTATAAAATATTAAACTTGTGGCTGCAGTGAGGGGTGGGACCCGAGCTGCCAGCAGGGCAGCAGCTGCTCCAGGCTGCAGGGTCATTTCCATGCTCTGGCACAGCAAATTCCTTCTCCCTGAAAGGGAGCGAGACATCTTCACAGCACACGTCTGAGGTGCACCCACCTCGCTGCAGTCTGTGCCCTACAGGGAGGGCTCAGGGCACACTATTAAATCTTAGCCCTGGTTTCAATCTCTGATTTAAACGCAGCTCTCTTGTGTGCTCTGCTGAGAGCCACACAGGACAGGTGAACAGCCCCAACTCCTTGGTCACTGTGGAGTGGCAGCCTTGTGTAACCATGGAGAAAACGTGTGATGTGCTACGGAAAGGAGCACAGAGCCCTTCACCAAGCCTTGCTTTGGTGCCTGAGTCCCAGGCTGGGTTAGGACTCCATGGCTGCTTCCTTCCAGCACCTGCACACCCTCACAGAGACCCTCATGACATGGCTGTAGTTGTGCAGCTTGCTCAGGGCTGGGTTTTTGCAAACAGGGGCATTTATCCAGCACCTCACACACGTTAACAGTTTTCCTTTCAGTGAGCACTGCCACCAGATTCACCAGGAGTAAAAACTGCCAGGGATCACTGAGGTCAGCAGAGGGAAACTGACCCATGCCAGTGCAGATCTCAGCTAAAAAGCAAGGGGAGAACAGGGAAAGGCATGCCAAGATGAGCAGGTTACCTCTGAGCGGCCGAGGCGGTCCAGGTTGGAGATGTCGTAGATGTCGGCCACAGCCGCCGTGTCCACCCCGCCGGTGCCACGCTTCTGCAGGCGCAGGTTCTCCAGGATCTTGGAGAACCTGGGGTCCTGTCAGGAGGAACAGCTCTGAGCTCACTGCCTTTCCCCTGCTGTGCTGAGCAGAGTCACAGCAGAGCTGTGATCCTTACAGCACTGCCAGAAGGACAAGCAGAGGGGGAGAGTTTTCTCACTCCTTCGATTACAGCCCATCTTTGCTGCCTCCCACGCTGGTTTTGCATGCACTATCCCTCCTTACACACACCCTGCTAACGTGCCATTTCTCCTGTGCTCCCTCACACCCCGGGAGAGCTGGCTGGTGTGGCTTAGGTGAGGTTTACACGCCGTGTACCTTGCTGAGCCTGGGCAGCCTGACGTGGACTCCTGCGCGCAGCCCCGTGCCCAGGTTGGAGGGACAGGTCAGCACGTACCCCAGACGCTCGTTCCACATGAACTCCCAGCCCCGCTCCTTGATCAGCCTTTCCACCTGTGGTGGAGACAAACAGAAAGGGCAGCATCCACAAGTGTCTTGTCTGAAGTTACTCGTGGAGCAGCAGGAATTTACACCTGGGTGCAGTCTGGTCTAGGTGTGACACAAATGTTTGCACCCCTCAGGTGCCACAGGGGTTTATTCACCAGCCTCTCATGACCACAATCTTGCAGACCCGTGGTCACTTCATCAGAAAACTCCCTGTTGTGGTGTTTTGGTAAAGCCTTGGCCCTTGGAGCCACGTCTCCACCTAAGAGTTGTGGCTTTTGCCATTTGTTTACAACTCCGGAATTTTGAAGCGAGTTTGCAGCACAGTACCCCAAAGGACTCAAACACCACGAAGCAAACAGAAGGGGCTGAACCTGAGTTTTGTGTAGCTTTCTAGCTGATGTCATGGCTCCTTGAAGAGGATGTTTGGCCTCTGGTCTCTGACCAGAATTGACAGGAGAGTGAAATAATTACCTGCAGAAAATCACAAGGGTTTATTGTCCTTTGAATAACCTGTTCACTCATCTATGCTTGTGCAAACCCAATACAGTTTCAGTTCTGTTCTCGTCTCCCCCTGAGGAGAACTGGATACATAAACCAGCTCACAAGAGTCCTACAAATACAGCTGAATACTTCAGGTCTGCAGAAGGATACAGAATAAATGACTCTCCTAGGATTGCTTCTGTATTTTGTGAGGATAACACAACTGATGGTGGGAAACTAGACCCAGTTTACTGCCCCAGACACTGGGGGCACAGCTCCCAAAGCTGCCCCACCACTTTCCATCTCCACAGGCTGCCATGAGCTCAGCTCAACAGCAGAGGCAAAGCTGGGAGCAACATCTGCAACATCTGGTGGGGCCACCACCTGTGCACTGCTCCATCTCACAGCTGTGCCTGGAAACGCACCCTGGAAATTCTCAGTGGCCACCTTGATGCCAACACAGCACAAATCAGATGGCTTTGTTTTCCTGTGCCCCAAAACCCACTGCAAACCCTAACCCAGACCATTCCAGGGTTCCTTGATATTACCTGTGGGGCGCAGGAACGTTCTGTTTCTCTGGTGACTCAACATTTTTTGTGCCAGATCAGGTCTGAGTGCTGCAGTGGGCCCCCACCCAACCTGAGGCATAGCTGGATTGTCTGGGTAAAACTGTTTCAAACCACACCCTTTCCCAGGAAGCCTTTCTTACCACTGTGATTAGTTAGATCAAAATAATACCCAGGAGCCCTGGCTCTGAGTTGTCAGTATTTTAATCAGAAACCCCCATATCTCCCCAGAATTGTGGGGTCTAAACTCTGAGTCCTGTGCACAACCTCAGCAGCCTCCACTCTGCTCCCAGCCTCAGAAATGAGGAGGGTGAGCCAAATAAAGCCTTCAATGAAGCAAATCAAACAACCCAAATAAAATGATTCATTTAAGATTTCCCACAGTCTTCAGGCACAAAAAAAGAGGGGGGGAAAAAAGAAAAGGGATATTTATTTATTTTGCCCTACAAACTCTACCTCTTTTAATCCACGGCAGAATCTTTCAAAGACACGTTTCATGTTGCCGCCCTTCTCCATGGAGATCACCCTGGTGTGGTCCTCTTCATTAATCCAAATGAGAAATGTCTTCTCATTGTTGTGCCTAGTCAAGAGGGGAGGAAAAAAAATCATAATACCTATAAAAAGGCAAGCCCTGAGAAATAATTCTCAGTGTCCTTAGTTTTATCAGAGTCTTTCCAAGCAGCAGAGATGTTAAACATGCCATATCTCCCCAGCTGTCTGGAGAGAGGGATTGCAGCTGGTTGCACACTGGACCCCTCACGCCTGTGGCATTGCAGCATCTCTTGGGCACAGCGTGAGGAGAGCTTTCTGCTCACACCATGCTGCTGGGCAAGGAAAATGTGTGTTCCTCCATCAGGAGCACAGCTGTGGGCACAGCCAAGGGAAAAGCCAAGCTCTGCACCCTCTGTCCTCAGGGAAGGGCTCTGTTGCTCTCACGAGACCCAAACCCCTACGTGCTGCTGGGAGCCAAGTAATGTGTGCTTTCTTCATTTTGTTCTCCCCTGCCTCCAATGCCTGCATCCCTCAAGGGATGTGTCTGGGATCCCTCAGTGACCCTGCTCTGCCAGAAAGGACAGAACCCCTGCAATCCCACTCCTGCCTCAAGCAGGCAGTCAGGGCTGGGTCACTTTCCCTGGCTTTTTCTCTGCTTGGCCAGTCTCCTACTACTGCCTTCCTACAGCACGTAGGAGGTGATTGATGGGATCAGAACCGTTTGTGCCAGCACTGAAATACCACCAGGTTTAAGGCACATGAAAGTGAAAGCTCAAGATCACTGAGATCCTGACTTTCAGCTGGTCTTTTGCCACCTCTCCTTTTCTTTCTGCAGTGAGCAATGCTGAGCAGGTGTAAACATCCTGTGCCCTGAGGCTGGGGTCAGCCCAGGTCCGGCCACCTCCTCCTCAGTCACGCACAAATGCTGAGGGAAGGTTTTGTAAATAGTCTGAGTTTGGCCTAACTCACCTCCCCCTTTTAGTTAAACAAGTGTCCCCATCGCTTTCACATTTGAACTGTGCCACTGCTGACTGTGCTGGTGGTGGAAATGGTCCTGCAGCCTGTAACATGGACAGGATGGAAACCATCAAAAGAAAAATTATTTCCATGATCTGCAATTTGTGCAAAATGTCCCTTTTTGACAGCAATTTTTTGCAGGAGACAAGGCAGATTTTCAAGATGTGGCTTTCAGAAGTACTTTCCAATCACACTAATTTTTTTTTGTTCCATTTTCCCTGATATTTCACATGCAAAAGAAGCCAAAACCCAGGTTTTATTCAGGAAAACCTTGGATAGTACCTGTGCTGTTAGTACTTCTGTTTGTTTGTGGAGACAAGGAATGAAGTGCCTCAAGCTTTATCCTTCTCCTCTTCCCCAGACTTCGATGGGGACCAAAGAATCTGCACCCCGTTGAATCTAACAGGAACCTTGTTGAAATGAAAAAGCCCTCACAGTTTCCCAGCTGGTTTTTGTGGGTGATCAGGTGTCACACAGGTGACTCCTCAGATGATTTTTGGAGTCAGAGCACCTGGCAATGCCCACAAGTGCAGCAGGGTGGATGCAGATGCACCTGCATCCTCTGCTGATGGTTTGTGCACCCATCTCAGAGCTGTTACCCTTTATCTCCACAGCAGATACTGTATTTGGGTGCAATATCAAGCGTGTTGTGACAGGAGAAGCAGACCTAGAACAGAGCAGGAATTCCCTGTCTCCTTTCCATCCCGCTGATTTGGGAGGAAAGGGTGGTTCTCAGCCCCAGGAACTGAAACATTTCTCTTTTTAGGGCAAACTGTGCATGCTGTGAGTGCAGGGCCGGAGCTGTGCAGGGTTAGGACGAGCAGGGAGGTTTGTAAGGCGATCTTTAGGCAGGACACAGGACTCTGCAGGTCACACAACATACCAGATTCCTCTGGCGTCCGGCCAGTCACGGGCCATCCCAGCACATGTGAGCAGAGGGGACACGGGCTTGTCAAAGAGAAAGTGATCCTGGGCACACAGACAGGGCCAGAGCGAGACAGAGAAAACAAAACAAAACTCCAGTTATCCCGGATGAACTCTAACACTGTCCAGAGCCCTTCTTGTGAAGGCAGTGGAAGCAGAAGCAAATCACACAGTACAGCCTGGGAACCCGGCTCCTCTGCCTGGAAACTGAAATCTCTTCAGGGTGATTTTCCTCAGTCATGCAGATGCTTGCTGACATGTTTGGCCAAAAACATTTTCCAAATGTAGGGAGGGATGGGAAGTGGGACCTAGATCCACATGGACACAGCAAAGGATGCTCTGGAGGACCTGGCTCCAGAGATCTCTGCATTCAGACACATTTCAGCAGAGGAGAGGACAATGAGTTCATTAGGATTGAAAAAAACACCAAAACAAAGCAAAACAAAAACCAAACAATAAAAACTGCTATGTCTGGAAAGATACTTCTCCAGCATGGAGATTGAGATATTTATTCTGACCACGAACTCAAGGCAGGAATTAAATCAGTGCTAATTTCAGCCTTTTGGAATCACAGGCTTGTTATGTTCCTTAACAGAGATGCTATTTGTGACTTAATAAATGTAGTACTTGCTGTGCCACCAACTTCCCCATGCCTAATACTTTAGATTTTTAAAAATTAATTGTTTTGGGGTTTTTTCCCCCCTGAAAAAAATAAGTATTTTATTATTGATTTTCACGTGTGTGCTAAAAACTAGTATTTCTTAGTTCTTTGAACACCACCATATCAAATATTGGGGGGCTTTTACTGGCAGTGCTGTTGGTTTTATTTATTTTTATTTATTTTTAAACCTAGGGCTTAACTAGAAATGGTGAGGCAATTTATCCAGAAGGCATATGACGCGGCAGACACATTGATGTGGCTTTTTTCCCTTAATGAAAAATGTAATAGTAATTATTATATTCTTCATTTCACTTAGGTTTTCATCTTTGAATGCTTTGTAATGGACACGGTGCAGCCAGAACTCCAACCATGCAGGAAGAAAAGGTGTCGAGTTCCCTTTGTTCTTCAAAGGGACACAAAATTTCCTCCCTCAGCCCGCTCCACTTGACACTTTGCTTGAAACAAAAATTCTGCTTTTTGCCAGAAAAGAGCTGTTAGTTTTCTTCATGAGCATATGGCCCAAATCTCCAAAACACCGAATGCCTTCTGTGCTGAGTGCAATTCAAGTAGCACTGATTTATTTCACTGAAATAAACTTTGATCTTACAGGGCTCAAATGACAGCTTTTAAAAGCTGTCAGGAAGCCTGATCCCACAGAGGTGCCAGGTCCTGGGGTGAGCTGTGCTGTGAGGCAAGGAATGCACCTCAGGTTACAACATCGGTTTCTGATCTCTCTAAATTTGCATTATCAATCATGAAACCAAACAAAATGAGATAAAATGCTGAACCAATGAAGCCTGTTCCTCTTCCCATAGGAAGGTTCCCTTAAACTGTGAAGGAATTACATTCTCCACACTCCTGTTTCAACCTCTGCTTCCTGAGGAGCTGTCTCCTGCTGAAAATAAAACCTGCAGTAGGTCATCAACGTCCTGTCAATAAACATATTACCAGGGACATTCAATTAAAAGAAGTTACTGACCTTACATAAATTCTTAACACCCGGTTCCAGGGTTATAAATAGTTACCTTATTCCTAGCTCCCCTCTGGTTGGTGTTATGGAATAATGTCAATAAATTCTATAATGAATATAGCTAAGAGTGCACAGCCATTCCTTTGGATAGTTAAAACACACATTCAAGCTTTGTCTGACATGTCACATGCTGTGACAAAGTCCGTGGTGAAAATCCTTGTGTTTCCATCTGTGTGACAATGAGAACTCTTTTTACGGGCCTGACCCTTCAATTCCTTAAACACAATGACAGGACTGGGAAAAAAAGTCACCTGGGTGCATTAAGCCACGGTCACCTGTAGGAAATCAGAATTTGTGTAGTGTTCACCTATGAAGTTACAGCCAAATTTTGGGAAATTAGAATTAGTGTCATTTTGACACAGAGAAATCACAGGCAATGCCCCCAACCCCTACAGTGTAGAATACAGACACCATGTAATATCTACCTCAGTTTAATACTTTTAGTTGGAATGGTTATTAATATAGAAACTATCAATCCTTGCTCAAGGAAAGGCCCTGAATTTGTCTCATTACCTGTCCAGAGAGGTGGCAGCAGCCTCGAGTGTTTGATTTGACACAGGCCCCACTCTCTGGAATACAAATCCCTGCCACAGGCCTGCACAGTGATGTACTTATCAGAAATACAGACCCTGGGTGGCTGGCTTTGCCATTAGAAGTATTGACATAATTGCCTTCCAGCGTTCCCAGGTTGTGCCCTGCCCTGGTGTGTGACTCTGAACTCCACACAAAGTGACAGCAAGCTCTCCTCACAGCTCAGGCACACACAACAATCCTTTCCCAGCCCCACAGCCAAGGGCAGCGCTGCAGCTTTGGGCCCAAAAAGCACAAACAGCCCCCAGCTGAGGAGAGCAAGCTGGGAGGATGGGACTGCATCCCCTGCAGCTGCAATTGCACAATTCACCCCCAGCTGGGGATGGACCAAAGTGATCCAAGGGTGAAACTCCTGAGCCGTCCTGGCTGGAGCCAGGGCCGGGCTCTTGCAGTGCCCAAGGTGCATCCTTGGAAGGGCTTTTAATGGATCCCTGCTTTATTCCTTGAACCCTGCCCAGCCCCTGCCCCTGGAGCCTCTGCAGGCACCAGGAGCGCAGGGTGGTGGTGCTGGGCTCCGCGGGGAAGCCCCGGGGGCTGCGGGGATGAAGCTGAAATACCCAGCAGGACTTACATCGATGAGCTGCTGCTGCTCCCGCTCGGTCATGCTGGTCAGGCTGTAGTACTTGCCGGACAGGTCTCCCCGCAGGCCGGAGAGCGCGGTGACCACCACGTTCTCCACCTCCCTGCGCTCGGCGCGGCTGCAGGCGGGCGGCAGGCTCAGCCCGCGGATGCTG